ATTTGTATCTAGATTCTGGAAAGAATTCCAAAAAGCTTTAGGAAGTAAATTGCATCTCGGCTCAGCTCTATCATCCTCAAACCGATGGGCGATCGAAAGAACCATCCAGATCATTAGAAGATCTTTTAAGGGCTTGTGTATTAGAAGAAAAATCTAGTTGGGATGAAATTTTACCCCTAGTAGAATTTACATATAATAATAGTTATCACTCTAGTATAGGTATGGCCCCTTATGAAGCACTTTATGGGCGTAAGTGTAGGACACCTTTAGTTTGGTATCGGGACGGTGAAAATTTATTAATAGGACCAGATATAATCCAACAAACAACGAATAAGGTAAAAATAATTCAAGATAAGATGAGAACTCGCTCAAAGTCGATGTAAAAGTTATGCTCGATAGGAGAAGGAAACCTTTAGAATTTCAAGAAGGAGATCATGTATTTTTGAAAGTTACACCTATTACTGGAATTGGCGTAGCTATTAAATCTAAGAAACTTTCCCCTAAATATATTGGGCCTTATCAAATTACAAAACGGGTTGGAAATGTTGCATACCGGATAGCCTTACCACCTTTTCTCTCAAATCTTCATGATGTATTCCATGTGTCATAATTAAGAAAGTACATTTCAGATCCAACACATGTCCTAGAACTTGATCAAGTACAGGTGAAGGAAAACCTCACCTTTGAACCAAGTCCTGTTAAGATAGAACAAATAAGGATTAAGCATCTAAGAGGAAAAGATATTCCACTAGTTAAGGTTATTTGGGATGATGTTAGAGGCGACGCTACATGGGAACTCGGAAGAGAAAATGAGAAGTGAATACCCTTATCTATTCACATAGAATGTATTACAAATTTCGAGGACGAAATTTTATTTAGTAGGGGAGAATTGTAATATCCTAAATTTTGTAATCAATTATATAAATAAATTTTGTAAGTTATAAATATGTACCGAATATTATGTAGAGTTATTATAAAAATAAAACATGATTTTTATAGTAATTTTGTCTTAAGAAAATTATAAAATAAAATCCAAGGTTAATATTGTGTCAAATAATAATTTAATAATAATTCTTAATAATAAAAATTAAATAAATGAGTAAATAAATATTTAGAAAAAAAAAGAAGAGAGAAACAGGAAGGTCGGTAGTGGCCTAAATACATTTGAATTAAGCTCGGTGAAGAATCGAATTAAATTAAGGCGGTGAAGAATAAAGACAATGAAGAAAATCCTAGAAAGAATTAAGTCGGTGAGTAAGTTTATAAATAGGAGGAAACTGGAAACATACACCAACACAATTCACGACCAACTTGAAGAATAAACCGAGAGACACTAGAATTCTTGGAAGAAGAATTCGAGAGAAAGGAGGAAAGGAGGAGCATACAAAATTAGGAGAGTAATAAGATATTGAGGAATCAGGTATGGGTTAGACGTTTAGTTTTATTCATACGAAAGTCCGTAATTGGAGATTACTATTCATCAATTGCAAAGATTGAAATATTGTTGAAATTCTTTCAATTAAGGATGAATTATATAATAAAATTATTGTTTTTAACTTAAATTGAACATATTTATGGTTTAATTTTGATTTGGAACAAATTTGAGTGATTGAAACCGAGAAATTTGAAACTTGGATTTCGATGAAAATTCTGCAAAACTCGCTCAAGCGAAAAATATGTCGCTTGAGCGAGGATACCTGGAAATTTTGGGATTCTTGGGTTCTTTATCGCTCAAGCGATAATTACATCGCTTGAGCGACTAACGGTCATGTCTCGCTCAAGCGATAAGTGTACTCGCTTGAGCGACGAAAGCTTCAAACAAAGGGGACCGAGGGTCATGTCTCGCTCAAGCGACAAGTGTACTCGCTGAGCGACGAAAGCTTCAAACAAAGGGGACTCTCGGGTCATTACTCGCTCAAGCGACCGATGTACTCGCTTGAGCGACGAAGCCTTCAAACAAAAGGAGACTCTCGGGTTCCATCTCGCTCAAGCGACCGGTATACTCGCTTGAGCGAGCGAAGGAAGAAGAAAGGACTAGGTGGGAATTTTTGCAAAAGATCAAGGGTAAAATAGTCATTTCACATATTAGGGACATAAATGGAATTTTGAAAAAGGTTAAGGGTATAATCGAAATAAAGTCAAACAAGTATATTACCCCTCTTTGTTTACTAGGAAAACGACTCAATAAACGTTAGAATTTGAGGATAGTGCCTTCATCAAAGTTATAGATTATTATGTTATCTTTCCAACACAATTGGAATCATCTTAAAATGAGGTCTAGAACTCAAGATATGGACAAAACACTCGAACCCTATGAAATAAATTATTAATCAAAATTGTCTTGCTTAAAACAACTATGAATTGTAATTAAAATTTTGAATATATGAAGGAGATGTTTTTAAGTATTTAATTGATGATAGATTGTTTTGTTTCATACGAGACATAAACATAGTGCATGAAATGTTTTCTCGGAAGTCACGTAAAAGTTTTTACGTAAAAGTATTTGGAAATTTCTCTTAAGTTGCTACCAAGGACGATTGGTAGGAATAATGATGTGTAAAACAGAATTTTTACATTTTCTCGTGAGTCAATTTACTATCAAGAGCATCCGGTAGTGAAATATGACTATGAAAATGGCCGGCCAAATGAGACAGACAATGAATTATTAAAAATTGAGCTACCGGAATCTCCGATAGTAAATGGGGGAGTAGAATAGGTAAGACAGGACCTCCGGTCTATGGGGATGGACCTCCGGTCTAGGGAGTGTTTGGGCATGGGCAATTCCATAAGTGGCCGGTCTTTATTTGATTCCGTGTCGTGGTAGCTCGTCGGTGCACCGACACTCGACTATCGTCTACTTGTTCGCGTTTAGTGGGACATTGCCGAATCACCTGGACAGGGTGATGTTAAGCTCCGGTTCCACTAGACACTCAAATGAGTCTCCATGGAGCACCGAGTCAAAAATAATTTTTTTATTTTGAGTCAAAAGCATGATTTTAAAGTTTTACGTTTGGAGTCACATGTGCATATCATAAACATATTGCATGATAAAATTGTAAATTATTCATGATTTGTACGATATTCTCTATTATGATTCCATGATTTATTTATTTGTTTCTCATAATTAATTTTTAAATTAAATTATATACGGTTGTATATTTATTAGAAGGAATTTTTCATTGGTTGATTTTATCGTATGAATGTTTGCTTTATTTGTTGTGGATAAAATTAAATGTCTAACCCCATAAATATTTCAATCCCGGATGTTGGTGACGTATGATGCAGGAATATATAGTCCAAGAGATAGATGTCGATGCAAAAATCCGGAGCTTAGGTCGGGAATTGTATAACATATAAGTATAACTTCATGACTTGTAATATTTTGAAAACTTTGTACTAGAACTTGTTGCTTGATTTAATATAAAATCTTACCTAAATTAATTGTTCACTTAGTATATTTTCTATTAACCTTCTATGAATATTGAAAATATTACTAACTTAGATAATAAATTAGAATTAATAAATGTAATCTGTAAGGGGGTTACATTGACCATTCCACGAAGGTGTAGGAAATGGCCCACAAATGTCCGTATGTATCAACTCTAAGACGTCCGTAGCTCTATATGCACCTAATCTCTTCGCTTTGATCTGTTTGCCCTTAATGCATTCAACACAAACATCAAAGTTTGTGAAGTCAATGGACTCTAAGATTCCATTTAACACAAGTCGTTCAACTCTATTTTTAGAGATGTGACCTAAGCGCTCGTGCCATAATGCTCCCGAGTGAGTATCATCAATTTTACGTTTAGTACCCCGTGATTCCGTATTAAGGGTTTCATTATAGGTGGTCACATTATCAAGTAAATACAGATTATCATAAGACAAAAGTGAACCAGCTCCAATAATATCCGAATTAAAAGACAAACCGAACTTATTGTTTCCAAATGAACACAAATAACCTAATTTGTCCGGATAAGAAACTCGAAACCAAATTCCGTCTCAATGATCGACACAACAAAAGTATCTTTCAAATCCAAATAAAAACCAAGTACTCAATAACAATTTAAAATGCCCTATGGCTTCCACCTCTACCGATTTGCCATCTCCAACATATATCCATCTTTCAGAATCAATTGGCTTCCGGTAGCTTAAGCAACCCTTCATAGAAACACCGATGTTAGTAGTTGCACCTGAGTCTAACCACCAAGTGTTACTAGGCACTGACGCTAAATTGACTTCGAACGCACCAAAATAAGAAACATATTTTTGAGGATCTGAACATAATTTAAATTGGCAGATATAGAAACAATTGTATCTAAATTAAAAACAAGAGAAATAAATTAATTATGCTCACATTATAAAAAAAATAATTATAAATAAAATATATATTCAAATAATGGTTTAACCCATCTCAAGACACCCAATGCATCATCAATATCAAGTCTTTGGACGAGTAATATTAACTGCTAGATGTATCTTGTTGTAATAATCAAACATTGACAATAAAGCACGTCCAACAACAAACCAGTCTTTGGATTGATTTATCATCGACAAAGCAAATCTTTATAATTATCACATGTTTATCATTACAAGTGTATATGCAATTTGGCCAAATATTAATCTTCCTTTAGTCGACTAATACTCGCATGAATATATACAAACATTAACATTTAATATTTTTACTGAACTACCCAATTCAAGAGATGTTACTTTGGTAACTTCTTGACTCAATTTGTTCACAAAAATATTAAACTACCAAAAATTAATATTTTATTTATATAACAAAACCAAATTTATATAATTATTTATTTATTAAAAAAATTTATAATGGCAGAAATTCACCACTACTATTTTCCAACTAATCCAAACCATCTAAATATAATAATTCTTGCTTCAGTATCAAATAAAAGGATTTTGATAAATTAGATTTGACAACCAAATTATTGATTAATTTATGCAAATGGGTCCCCTTAAAAAAAATTTCCACCACGCGCAGGTTCTCACAATTGAGAAGTGTCCACGTCAGCAATGTTAATGCACCAAGTGGTTCTGCGCCACCAGGCATATTTGGGCGCCACACACGGCACAGCGTAGCAAATCGAGTCGAGACTTATGGGAAGGGGCCAGTCTCCAATTTCAGTTGTATACGGATCAGATGGCTCGCGACAATCCTCTCCCATGGACCCATGCTCAGCCGACTCCACAGCGTCGTGCCACTTCTTCGCCGGAGCAGGTTCCGAAATTAAACCCACCATCCTCCGTCCCCTCACACATCTCGTGCACCAACAACTTCCTCTTCTCTGGCGAGGAGGACGCCGATAATGGGAGGATCACAGATAATGCCACACGCGGAACAGAGAATCGGGTTTTAAGAAACCCTAGGATTCTCAATTTTGGGGTTTTAATTAGGGATATAGGATTACGAAAATTAATCTAAATTCTTAAATATTTTCTAAAATAAAGATGAATAAGTATGAGTTGCTATAATACCAATTGTTAAGATAAACTGTAATTGAATATGATATTCATTCTAATGATCAAACATATATCTATAATCTCATACTATAAACATGTTATAAACTAAATGCGAAAGCGTACCTGAATTGACCATAATGACGATATTCTTTATAGAAGCACTTTTGATTTGATCTTAAGGTCTTCCACTGAAGAAGCACCTGTTTTTCCCTCTTGATTTTCTTTCTTGATGGGGATAGAAAGAAAGGAACGAGACTATAACTATGTTACGTCTATGTGCTTCTCGAAGGGATCATGACCCTTTAAATAACCAAAATTAGGTTAATTACTTAAGTTTTAGTATTTTCAATTTGGTCCCTCATCAAATTAGAAATTACTCTATGATCTCTACACAATCATATTTTCATGACATATACATTTAGCCAAAACTTTAATTTATTCAGATCACTTTATTATTTGACTTAATAAATAATGACCCTAACACATTTAAATATGTATCATATATATACATGACCCAAAATTTGCCAACATTTTTCTCATGAAATGTGTTGTTGTAGAAGCCATTTTTGCCGGGAGCGTTATCTGATAAGGAGGAGAGGAGGGTCTTGAGATTGTTTAGGAAGGTGCTACTGCCATTGGAAAAGTTGTTCTCGGAACAGTTATGGTTTAGATAGACAGGGTCGTACTGTGCCTGACAAGTTGCAAAACTGAGGAAGCTAACAAGAATAAAGAGGAAGAAAATGTTGCAGGAAGCCATGGATGTTTTACTGGGTCTGCTGTTATGGTTGTCTTACAAAATTCTTCTTTTCCATAGAGTTATATATATTATATAGTACACTCCCGTCATTTTTTTTGTTATAATTTTTCTATTATTAATTGATGTAAAATTATGTGTAAATTTTTTGATAAAATAATTCTTTTTTTTTTTAATTTAAATTTTGCAGATTGACTAACAGGAAACTAAGATTGATCTAAACTTAACCTGTTTTTTGATTGAAATGATTTAAGTGAGATTATATAAAAAATTCAAGGCAATGAAACTGAGGATTGTAGATATTTTTGGTAGTGAGAGATAACGTGGAAAGTACTTCCAATGTAATGGAATCATTCTGGTTTGGTCTGAAAATGTAGGTCAATGATGAGGCGAGTGAAGGAAAAATAAAAGACAAGGAAAATATGGTGTCTGAGAAATGTTTGGCATGCCATAAAAAGAGAATTAAAGAGTGCATGTGCATGCTGCTGACGTTAATAATGGTTGGGTCAGGGATGCTTTCTGGAGATTATACTACCGTCAACATTATATATGGTGTTCATATATGTAAAATCAAATTATAATGAAATCTCTTTCTCTCTCTCTATAAATATATATATATATATATAATTTTAATAAATATATATATATATATATATATATAATGTATATATTAAAAAATAACCTTAATTTAAAAAATAACATTTTTTTTACTCAGAATTATGTTTTATAATATAAGATTTAAATATATATATATATATATATATATATATATATGACAAAAAAAAACTATATATATATATATATTAAAATTTAAAACTATTCATAGTAATTTGTTTTTTCATCGAAGAATTCAGGTGACACAACTAGTGAAATAGAATACTATAATCTTATAAGTAATCTTTCTCTTATTTATTTTTTTTGTATTCTTATTTTTCTCTATTTTGTAGATTCAAAATGACCATAAATATTATTATTGGTGACTTTGTAACTGTAACGTTTAATTGGAAAATGCATATTTGTGTAATTATTTTCTACAAATTTTTTCAATACAGTCATTCACGTATGAAAAATAGTATAATTTTTATATATTTGAAAGTAAATATTTAAAATAGAATTTGTTTCAAAGTTCCTAATTTATCTATATTATTAAATCTTTCTAATAATATATATATATATATATATATATATATATATATATTTAAATTTATTTCAGTGTTCAAAGGTTCAAACTACTGTTACAACATGTCAGATCAATTTGAAAATCAACTGATACCTTCTAACATTAAATTTATTATCTTCTCATTGTCAATTAATATTATTTTCAATTTCATATATAATGTTTGTAAGTTTAGGTTTCATATTATTCATCATTCTTATTTTTACAACTTATAAAATTAGTTTAATTACGATTAAGTTACTTATTTATGTTATGTTTATCGTAGATAATACTTTGTTTATCAAAGCTTAACTCATTATTATTGGAAAAGGATTCAAGATTGAGGTGAATAACAAAAATATGAATCAAAATATTATAAGTCTCTACCTTCATAATTGTAACACCAAAAATAATACGTAATTAATAACAGATTTTTCATTTTAAGTTTGTTAAGTACATCACCCAATAAATTTAAAGACAAAGATTGTCAGATTTTTTTTTTTGAATTTTGCTAAATGTTATTTATTATTGTTTTTTTATAAGAACAAAAACCAATTTTTTTTATTATATTTTAATATTTTTTATTTTAGTGTTTTAATATATTTGTTTTAAACATATCAATTTTGTTATTACTTTTAAAAATATTTTATTAATTTTAATGTTAAAAATTTTAAATTATGTCATTTATATTTTGCTAGAATGTGTGCTTGGCAGTTATTTGAAAAATGATAGCTTTTAAGAAAAAATATTTTTATATAACTATGTAGTCATAAAACGTTTTTTTTTCAATAACTAATAAAGGACAAATTTATAAACACATAGTCATTTTTTTATTTATTTTACGAAATTTGGTCAAATTTTTACAGATATAATAATATTTAAGACATGTTGAATAAAATAAAGGAGTGTTGTTAGGTAGCATTTTCTCAAAATTAACATTGCTTTTGTACAATACATTAAATAATTAATTTAGATAAATTAGTAACCATAAGTAATAAACAATATTGATACTGATAATTACTAAATAATTTAAAAATAAACACGTGATATTAAATAATTAATAATTACCATTTACTATCACTGATTATGAAAAAATAACTTTAAATTATACACATTTTTAAATTTTAAATTTCAAATCTTAGTTTTCAATGTTAAGGGTTATTTCTTTTGTTTCTAACATTCACGAATAAAGCTAAATTAATTTAATTTTTGAAAAATAAAAAGAATATTTCGCTTAATTTAATTCAAATTCTTCTAGTTATAATCAAATTAGTTTGTTTTAAAAAAAGTTGGTTTAATTTGAGTTATCAATTTAATAAAAATGAAAAAATCACGTTAAGTTAAAATAAAGATTGATTTTCAAAATCTTAAAAGATTAAATATGATTTTTTTAAAAGATTAAATCATTACATTAATAATGTCTTTCATAACAAAATAATCAAATTCAGATTGTAAATCTCCAATGCTTGAGTATACGAATAATTTAATTTCACCACCTTAATTAGATACTGTGTGTGAAGATCATATATCTTTACCTTTATTGCAGTAATAAGCATCTTCACACCAAACCGTTAAACTTTCCACCTTCATGGTCATTATCTTACACTATACCCACAAGTTCCTTCCACTTGCAAATTCATGTAATAATCTTTTTCTCAACTCTCTCTCTCTCTGACCAAACTGAGTAGCCTAACATCTTCCCATTATGAGAGTCTTGGACTTTCTCATTGTCATCCAATGCCTGCAACTGCAACCATTGCAGCTATAGCTCTAACACTCTTTATTATATTCAGAAGCAATTTTAGAATATTCACTACTAGAAAAATGTCAAATAGTAACCGAAATCAGTGACCGAAAAATTTAGTTACTATCGATGACCGAATCGATAACCAAATTATTATTTTTTAGTCTAGTAACCGAAATAGTAACCGAATTTTCGGTCACAAAAAATCGAGTTACTATTTCAGTCACTTTATTATTTAATTTATTTTTTTAATTAATCTATATTTAATTTATGTAATTATTTACTACAAAAATGGTTAATAGTGACTGAAATTAGTGACTGATTTTTTTTATATTTAGTAACTGATTTAGTGACTAAAATTTCAGTCACTAAAAAAATAATTTTTAAACTGATTACTATTTTTCATTTATATAAATATTTTATTTAAAATATTTTAAATATAAATTTACTTAATGATTTAAAATAATTGATAACATTTTTAATAAAATTATAAATATTTAAAAAAAATTGTTTACTAACTTATTAAATAATTTAGTAATATAATTATTTGATTTTATTTTTTAATTTAGCATGTGAATAAAAAAATTAAAATTGATTATTAAATTAGTCACCGAATCGGTCATCGATTCGGTCACCGAATCAGTCATCGATTCGGTCACTCGAATCAGTCATCGATTCGGTCATCGAATCGGTCATCGATTCGATCATCGAATCGGTCACTAAATCAATAATTAAATTAATTATTAATTTAGTCTCTTTATATATATATATATGTATATATATATATATATATATATATTACTTGTATGTTAATAAAAATGTATTTCAATGTATTTATAAAAAATTAAAATTATTTTAATTACTTGAATTGATATTTTAAATTTATATTAATATCTTGAATAATTTAATAGTTGGATATATATATATATATATATATATATCACTTTAATTTTTTTAATTAAAATTAATTTCATAAAAAAATTAATATTTGAAAATTAAAATGCAAATATATATATATATATATATAAATTTATTTATTTTTTAAAGATGATATATTCAATGTATGTTAAAAAAGTTCAAGCCAAACTGTTTTTATAGAAGATTTTCAAAATCTTTGGTTTAATTAATCTGTTAAAAGATTCTTTTAATATGTTAAAAGTGCAGTTTTAATCTGTTAAAACTTCTTTTAATCCATTAATACGTTCTTGATTCTTTAACTGATTTGTTTTAACCGATACTGACAACGTTTATATCAATTAAAACACTTTACAAAAAATCTTCTAAGTTGATTTAATCGATTGTTCGCGATTCAATCGATTGAAATACTTGCAAAACTTTCTCCTAAAACTTTTCAAGTTATTTTAACTGATAAAAATAAGTTTTAATCGATTAAAACGCTTGTCAGAACTGCTTTAATCGATTGAAACGAGATTTAATCGATTAAAATAGTTATGATCGGTCATAAATACATTCTGACCGATCATAATTGAAACCATATAATAGCGGTTCAAGGGTTAACCGCTATCTAAGTCATATTTTAAGAGCGGTTCCTGTGTAACCGCTATCTAAACTGTATCTCGCTTGAGCGACAACATTCTCGCTCGAGCGAAACTCCCCCTGCACAAAATTAGTACTCTCGGGTTGTATTTCGCTTGAGCGAGCCTATCTCGCTCGAGCGATTATTGATTCTGATCGATTATATTTTCGAAATGATCGATCATATTTGATAATTTTTTCAAATATTTAATTATAATCGATTAGTTTTCTAAATTATTGATTAGAATTGATTAGTTTTTCAAATAATAGATTAGAATTGATTAATTTTTGAAATATATACTAAAAAATTATAATTAAAACTATAAATTAGTTAAGAATATTGACTATTGTAAAGATAAAGTAGAACATGGGAGGAGATGAGGATGATATAATATAATGATAGAACTTACAAAAATGTAGAATTGAGAAGTTTAAAAAAAAAATTAAGAAAATAGAGATTTAATTATACTTTTAATAAATTTAAGATAATACTAGTTTTTAAACCTTTTTCTAATATTTGTTTTTAAAAATATAATATCATTTTTAATATTTTATAGATTTTATATT